CGCGCTTTCATGTTTTTCTATGGGATACTGAAGATTGTTTAAAGAATGTACCCATTTGATTCCATAAACAGTTGAGGATATCATGTGGTTAGAACAATCTCTGTTCATCAAGTGTTAGTCAGTTAGATACAAAGCTTTAATACACTTGTTACTATATATAGTAACAAAATCGCCTATGATTTCAACTGATTCAGAGTGTCACGTGCCCTGTTATCAGTTTGCGGTCCGAGAACTAGTTATCAGCACGCTGAACATATGCACGTGCACAAACTGAAACAATGACGTCATATTTTACGTCATCAAACAGTTAACTGTGAAAGTGAAAGTAGGTTTTAAGCACGAATCGCTTGATTTTGTTATGAGAGCTTAAGCGTATTTCGTACAAACACAGTTTTATTGGATCTACTATTGAAATTTAAAGAAATTATTGGACAAATTCATTCCGAAAAAAAAATGAAAATGAAACTTGCTTCTAGGTTCTACACGCAAAGGGAGCTACTGTACTGTACAGTAGAAATGCAGACGGGAATTTCAACGAAAGAAGTTTCAAAGTATTATTTTTTTTAGAAAAAAATGCTACAATTTGATCTACCAAGTGTATTAAAGACATAAATAGACGTCATAGTTGTGCCAGAAGGTGATAATCGGCCCTGAAATGAATAATGCCCTCGGGCTAAAGCTCTCGGGGGCCATTATTCATTTTGCGGGCCGATTATCACTTTCCGGCCCTACTCTGCCGTGTATTAATCTCATAATACAAACTGGTGAAGCAGGTAAAGCACTACAACATTTAGACGTAATGAATGCTTTCCATTTCATGAAATATGAGAAATATTTATTGACAGTAGTGTCACATTTAGAGTCTAACAGTTTATCAGCCATTTGAGATGCAAGATTCTACAAAATTGTGACATCAATCCGGGTCCTCTATCTGCGTCAATCTCAAGTCTGAATAAGAAGTATACAACAATGCAGAAACATGAGGAAAGTGTTTATACAATTCTTAAAGCTATAAAACCAAACTTCAATGGTCTACCGTCAAATATTCCGTTTCTCCTCCTGCGCCTTTTGTACAAAATCGGCTTGATAATTTCCATCAGGAAACAAAACGGGCCAGTACGGTGCCGACCGAAACATGAGTACAACTAAAGTGCATGTTCATTTTTCCTCTTCAAATTTGTTCAAAGTAATTAGAACTAATCTTGGGGGCGGAAAGACCGGATATTTTCACTACCCCATTCTTGTGAATTTCAAACATTTACTATAATCGTAAGTGAAAATAATGAGGACCCCTATTTCGACTCAAGTATATCGAACACCTAGTCTGTAACTGTCAAGTCGTCACTTGGAAAATCAGCCTCAAAGTTATCTGCCCTTGGAATCCAGTTAGGAAACAAAAATATGTCATGCTTCATGCAAACATCATAAATGTGCAAAGATATATACCTTTCAAATTAGGCTTTTGCTCCTTACCTCTTGTTCTTGTTGCTGGATCATGAGGTGGTTGCGTTCATTGAACGCGTCTTTCCTTGTTGATCTTGCTTTTTCATATTTTCAAAATTGAACAAACATTTCTGTTGTCTGAATTTATTAAAACTTTATTTTCCAGCTGATATTGCACAGAAGAATAAAAAGACTTCGGTACAACCTCTAGCTCTCGCCACGTGGAGTTAAAAATCTGCTCAGATTCTGACTACATACCAAAAACTATTGTCAATACCATCAACATAACTACCGAATTCAGATTCATTGGCGTCAACAAAGACGTTTTTTTTTACTTCACAGACGTCAAAGGAGACGCTTGTGTCAAGTACCGTGTGGCATCTGTAAAATGTTGCCCCGTACTTCACTTCAGTGTTGTTATATTTTTTTCTGCTTCGGGATGACCGATGCCAGCACTATTAAGTGTTGAGAATTAAGTACCGCTCAAGCCGGTGCTAGGGGCGTGAAGGATGTTGCACTTATTCATATGTTCAGACTCAATCAAACCACCGAGTCTGAAATTTCCATGTAATTTTGTTGTGATTAATGCTTCCGAGAGATCACTTTGTTTCCAGATTGTTTTAAACTTAAACGGACAACTGGACCTAATACACATTGCTTAGACAATAATTGACCTGTTAAACATGTGAGCATACTGTCTGGAATGGAATGAAAACTTATAATAAGCTTAACAGCTCTCTCTAATCTATCCTCCGTTACTCTCAAAATTCCTGTTCCATGTCCCAGAGGTAATCTAACCATGTTAAAAATAAACAAGGTTGCCAAATGCATCCGCTTTTAAGAACCCAAACTGCATCAAGTCCTGTCTAACGATTCATAGGTTCAGCAAAAGTGTGATTGCCACTAAGGCCGTCATCTAAAAATAAAACGACTTTGAAACCCAAGCTACGCCATTGTTCTACAAGTACCCTAAAAACCTTTGTAATAATATAACCTGCTGTGGACATCACCAAAGGCAAGACGTTGAACACATAATACTTTTTGTGAACATTTTGTGTCCAATGAAAACCTAGCTATAGGTTTGTTCTATGTGACCGACCAATTATTATGTGGTGGTATGCGCTTTGAATGTCAATCGGAAACATTGTCAAACGGAAACATATAATTGCGTTAAAAAGTTGCCTTCGTACCAACTTTCTGATTTCAATAAAACAGGTTTGACATGTCTGAATCAAGTATCAGTTTGGCTTTATTTGAAGTATGTAAAGCTACAGTCAAAGGGTTAACAACTAATGGAACCGACTTTACCTTTAGCTAACAAATTTTGTATTTCAACAGTAACAAAGGTAGAATTCGCTTAAGCAGAACTTTCATTCTTTATTTCAGTAGTAGCAGAAAAATTCATGAAAGGCAGTGTATAGCCTTGGTCGATAACATCAATAATATAATCATTAGAACATACTTCCTTCCAATGTTTAAAATTTCTCCTTAATCTACCTGCCGGAGTGACTAACGCTGCTAGACCGTAATTATTATTTTCGTAGGTTTTATTCCATATCTCAAGTTTATTAGTATTTTCAATATTTTCATTAATCCGACAAAATGAAATTTTACTTATCTGATCAGATTTCTCAGTTCTAGTACTCTCAACCATCCCGCGTGCTCTACAATCAGCACGCCAGTGACCAGGCCTTCCACACTTGAAGCAGGAACCGGGTTTCCTAGAGGTCGTCCATGTTGGTCTGCCCTACTGCTGCGCTGAATGTCCGGAAACGGTAGAATAAGAAAACTGGTTCATACCTGAAAACGGAGAAGAACCAAAACGTGCGGTTAGAAGACTGCCTAACCTTTCTGACTGCCTGTATTAACGCACGTGCGATTATCTTCTCATCTTCGTTGTCGTCTGCTAACAGGTGAGATTCATACTCTTGTACCACCTTCCACCCGTGCTCAGAAGAATTAGTAAGTTTAAAATAATTCATTTTTGCTGATAATTTAATGTGTTCATACCTTCTGCACTTTCTGCAGCGCCCTCCGAATAATCATTGAGTAGTCGTCTGCTTGCTGCATTTTATCAAGCACGTATATTATAGTCGGAAACCAAGTCTCTCGGATAGCCTAAATTTGCGCTTGCGACAATTCACGCTGAGTAGAATTTATGTTTTAACGCTCAAATCTTAACGCTCAAATGTCTGAAACTTTGCATTGATAAGCTCTTCCATTCGCGAAAAACGTTCATTTTCTTCAGACATGGCTGCCCAACTAACACGTGGTCGGATACATTATGAGATTGGAGATGTTAACTGCTGCATAATGACTGCGAATACCATGACAAATCACTATATAGAAAGCGATACGCAAAGACAAACATTTTACGATATACAGTAAAAACCCTCAGTTAAGAGCACCATCGGGACTAGTCCAAAGTGGTCTTAATTGATGGGTGGTCTTAATTGTGAAAATTCTTATTGCTTACATATACTTTATGACCATTGTCTATTTAAGTCATGTTGTATGAACAAACAATATGTATCTTACAATATAAAAGTATGTTATAATATTTAATCTGATGAGAGGTAAATATATTCTGAAAAAAATAAATATTAAATTTTCTTTGGTCTGATTTCAATATTATGATGTACATAATTCACATATCAAATAAGAAATTAATTTCTTCACAAAATAAAACTGAAAACAACATTAAACTACTCTAAAATTTACTTTCCCACCTTATTTTATATAATACCCCCCCCCCCCAAAAAAAAAAAAAAAAAAAACAACAACAAAAAACAACAACAATAAATAAAAAATAAAAAAAGTTTTTGACACATTGTGAAATCAAGTATCATACCTAAAAGCATTCAAGCAGATGAAAACAACAAATTTAAGAATTAGGTAGGTGTTGACTTTAATAATTATCTGGGGTCAAATAAAGAATATAAAGATAGATTGGGACTGAATCTGGTGGTCTTAAAAGTGGATAAGCGGGTCGTCTTAATTCTGGATCATGTAACCATTGATATAAAGAACAGAAAATTCTGTTCTTTTAAAATATGATATTAATAGCGGGGTGGTCTTAATTCCGGCCGGGGTGGTCTTAAGTAGGAATTCTACTGTACTAGCGAAACGCGTTAAATTTCAGTAATATCCTATTTGCCTAAATGCTTTATTATTAAGCGTAGGTATTATCTTTGTTGATTTAATATATATTATACATCTGTTTTATTGTTTAACCTGCCCTTATCCGAAAATTGACGGAAAGAGCCGAATAGTTGCGATTGCCGTGTAAAATTGGTTATGTTTAAACTTTTCATATTTTTAATTTGTGATAAATAAAATATCAGATTGGTATTACAAGTTAGAAATAAATATCTCTCCAGGGCTTTCTTATTTTTATTGCACCCTATTTTACCTGCTTTTCCTATATTTATTTGTAAACATTTGTAAAAATGTACATTGAAAATGCTCACACAAGGTTTAAACCTAAACGCTTCTTGATTTCAGTAAAGTAATTCGAATCTTCCATTTAAAACGTTTCATAATTGCATAAAATCGTAAGTTAAGTAATAAAATCCATTCATCATAAACAACACTAAATGCAACAAAATACACGTGGTGGTATCCTAACATAAATTTAGACTTTTACGCCTGGATGCACATAAACATATTAATAGTAAGGATATTACGAACAAGTTTACAAGTTTATACTTAAGTTACTTCAATCCGAGTGTGATATTTCCGGTATGTATGTTTTTATTTTTTTATTTTATTTCAGTTAGCATTTTTGCATGTCCACGTATTAAGAGAGCAGTTATTATTCTGATATCTACCAAATGTCATGTAAGGAAACAATTTGGTTGCTAGGGTCATTTTATCATGTCATGAAATATATTGATAACGTGTTATTTGCCTGTTTCAAAGTAAGAAAGACAAACGATTTAAATCACACGCTTCCTTGTTTATTACACTCACCCTAAGGGTAACATATCAACAATAAATACCACTGTATCTATAAAGTGATCTACGACAGGATTTAAGTAAACTATAACTTCAAATACACTGAAGTAAGCAAGCGTTTCTTATTTGTATTTCAGTTGTTGAAATTTTATGAAAAACCGCACGTTTGATATATGTGCGGAGTCGGATGTGTGATGACATTTTGAGTCACGGATGTACATTTGGGATACATTAAATAAAACAATAATGGTGACATACAGATTAAAAACATTAGAAGCAGGGAAGGTCCCCCTGGAAATGAGAGTTCCATATGTGAATACCGGTTATCGGAAGCTGTATCAGCCTTGGGAATATTACCTACACAGTTTATTTCACCTTCATAATGAAACTATAAACGTGTGGACGCATTTAATCGGCTGTGTTGTGATAATATTTCAAACATACACTTACTATAGGATATACGCAGACGAGGACGCTGCAATTAAAGGAACCGTTCTAGGGTTTGGACTGTGCTGTTTTATAACGTTATTTAATAGTGCAACAGCTCACTTGCTCCACTCCAAATCTTGCCACACCAATTTTCTCGTGTTTATGTTTGATTATATCGGAGTAGTGAGCTGGGGTTACGGAACTGCTATATTGTCACTGTACGGTGTTTCAAGTAAATCTATGTATGACTGGTTGGGATCGAACTTTGTCGTTATTCAAATTGTTTGGACATATCTGAATTTTATAAATATTTGCTTGGCAAAGCTTTGGTATGGACACGATTTATCACTTAGCCAACGAAAAATCATGATTGTCGTCGGTATATCTATTCAAGGTCTCTGGAACTTCATTCCATTCTTTCCACGTTATATAAATTGCTATAAAAGCCAAGTCTGTGAGTTGAGCTCACTAAATCACGTGACTATTGTTTGCGTTTCATTTGCATTTATGACTTTAACCTTTGTTCTTCATCAGCCAGAGAGATTGAAGCCAGGCATGTTTGATATTGTTGGACAAAGTCACCAGATCTTTCATGTTTTTGTTATCCTAACAATGACACTTCAATTCAGAGCACTTTATGTCGATTTTGAGACAAAATCCAACTTACACTGCAAACCAAATGTAACGGAGCTTTTATTTTGCATTTTCTTATTAAATTCTTCTTGTCTTGTAACTCTGTGTTATTTCAGAGAAAGAGTAAAGAGAAAACTGGATAACAACAATAAAGAGAAATGAAGATAAACTTAAGGAAATATAGTTTTGTATTGTATGCTTTACATAAATATGCTTACCACGGACAACAATTACTGATAATATACCATGTTTAATGGTTTAACAATTAACTTTGAAATTAGTAAAAAAATAAAATCAGCTTGTTCAAATTGTTTCATTTTTTTTAAAGTTACTGTGTACAATTGTCAAATTGCTATGCCCTGGGAAATATGTTTTGTGTGGGTGTGCGGGGACATGTATATCACTCGTTGAACTCCCGCACTCCACCACCACCCGTTTTCTTAAAGGTGGAAATCCTATTGATGGTCGGACAAACTCCCTCAGGTAGCACTTCGCACTAAATTTCAAGTTTTTGCCGTTAATGTCCGACAAGCAATATGTCTGATAAATCTGATCCCAAACTACAAAACCTGGAAAAAGAAAACACATTTTGTTAAGGACATATATGTCATACATTGCAAATCTATATTTTCAATAGTCAGGCACTTAAAGAAAATCCAATTTATTCCGTTAAAGCCCAAAATCTACAGTGGTCCGAGACCCAAAACACCACATTTCGTCCCTCTGCAAATATACGGGCTACAGAAACACTGTCACTACTTTTGCTACTCCCTATACATGCAAAATATCACTAAGAAATAGGTGCTTGGCCTAATTTTTGCTATTGCTTTATGTTTGTACCACCCTGTAAAATTGTACTTGTTTTTTTACCGAGCATGCTGTTTAAAAGCAATGATTACAAAAAAAATGGCGGCCTTGACATCTATAATTCACAACCATGTTTTCGTATTAGCCAATGATTATATTAGATGTCACAAAAACAAATTTCATGCTGACAATGCACTTTAAAGACAACCAGTCATTTAAATCAAGAATAGTCATTATATTCGAGAAATCATCCCTGGCCATCCGAAGTTAAGGCTTACATTACTGTGATGTGCTACCTCAGCAAAACAGACTAAATTCATTAGTGATAGTATTATCAATACATGACAATAAATACATCATGTGGTAATTTACAAAGAATATTGTGTGAAAAAATGATAGTTTCTAGTTTTTTATCAGATGTACTGTTATTGCACATCTTTCATAATTCTTATCTTATATAGGAAAAAATAGAAGTTGAAAATATTTCTAAAATGAATTTTCTAAACCAAAAAAATCTGTCTTTTTAAAAAAAAAATAAAAAAAATAGAGGATTGGATGATAGTAAGTTCAATACTGAATTTATTGAACGAATTGAATATAACTATATTTTGCGAGCTTCTTGGGAGTATAATATTATTTTATTGAACGAGTTCAATAAATTCAGTAATGAACCTATACGAATATAATATTTTATTTATCACATACCCAAAAGTGGAAGGTGCGGTTCTAACGCGCTTCTTACTACTCCCATATGAAGTTACGGTGGCACAAAGGTGACATGTGTGTGTTTTTATCTATCTCGTGGCCACGAGATACTATGTCGTGGCCACGAGTTACTAAGTCGTGGCCACGAGATAGCTAAGTCGTGGCCACGAGATACTATGTCGTGGCCACGAGTTACTAAGTCGTGGCCACGAGATCGCTAAGTCTTGGCCACGAGATACTATCTCGTGGCCACGAGTTACTATGTCGTGGCCACGAGTTACTAAGTCGTGGCCACGAGATAGCTATAAGTCGTGGCCACGAGTTACTATGTCGTTGCCACGAGTTACTAAGTCGTGGCCACGAGATAGCTAAGTCGTGGCCACGAGATACTATTTCGTGGCCAAGAGATACTATGTCGTGGCCACGAGATCGCTAAGTCTTGGCCACGAGATACTATCTAGTGGCCACGAGTTACTATGTCGTGGCCACGAGTTACTAAGTCGTGGCCACGAGATAGCTAAGTCGTGGCCACGAGTTACTTTTTCGTGGCCACGAGATACTATGTCGTGGCCACGAGTTACTATGTCATGGCCACGAGATAGCTAAGTCGTGGCCACGAGTTACAAAGTCGTGGCCACGAGATAGCTAAGTCGTGGCAACGAGATACTATGTCGTGGCCACGAGTTACTAAGTCGTGGCCACGAGATAGTTAAGTCGTGGCCACGAGATAAATAACCAATCAGATTTCACCATTTATATGAATTTCCCTAATTAACTAGACATGTGCTATAGTACAAGGATGTCCCTAATTCACTAGGCTGTAAAAGTGCCATTTAAACAACTTATTGACTGGTCAATAATTTTACATTTAGCGTCACTATGACCCTGATTTTTTACCCAATGACCTAGAAATTATTAGATGTCATCTACTGATCACGTGCTATGATCATTCTGGGTTACATTAACCGTGGCGTATCCCTTCTAAATTATTCATCTGACAAGGATTTACCTGATAGGCTATCTACTGTCCATGGGAAATGTCCCTTCCAAATAAAATAAACCAGAACTTTTTCCTTCTCATGTTATCGTAAACAAGGTTAACAGGGCCGTTAGTACGTATAAACTGACCAATTCGATCACAAAATTGTCCCAACAAAGAGATATAGTCAAAATTAATGTCTGATGGGCCTTGGAAGGTGACTTTCTAATATCATTCTAAAGACAAGTTCAAAGTGAATACCTTCAGTATTTTCAAAGATTAATGTTGCATGTAAAATTAAGTTATAAAGTTAAAAAAAATCATAATATATATGTAGTGTATTCTGATTGGTTAATTATCTCGTGGCCACGACTTAGTAACTCGTGGCCACGACATAGTATCTCGTGGCCACGACTTAGCTATTTTATAGCAATGGAAGTGGTCGAGGCATTGAACTGTATAACAATGGAAGAAGTCGAGGCATTGCACTTTATAACAATGGAAGTAGTCGAGGTATTGAACTTTATAACAATTGAAGTGGTCGAGGCATTTAACTTTATAACAATGGAAGTGGTCGAGGTATTGAACTTTATAACAATGGAAGTGGTCGAGGTATTGAACTTTATAACAATGGAAGTAGTCGAGGCATTTAACTTTATAACAATGGAAGTAGTCGAGGTATTGAACTTTATAACAATGGAAGTAGTCGAGGCATTGAACTTTATAACAATGGAAGTAGTCGAGGCATTGAACTTTATAACAATGGAAGTGGTCGAGGCATTGCACTTTATAACAATGGAAGTAGTCGAGGCATTGCACTTTATAACAATGGAAGTAGTCGAGGTATTGAAGTTTATAACAATGGAAGAAGCCGAGGCATTGAACTTTATAACAATGGAAGTGGTCGAGGCATTGCACTTTATAACAATGGAAGTAGTCGAGGTATTGAACTTTATAACAATGGAAGAAGCCAAGGCATTGAATTTCATAAGAATGGAAGTGGTCGAGGCATTGAACTTTATATCAATGGAAGTAGTCGAGGCATTGAACTTTATAACAATGGAAGTGGTCGAGGTATTAACTTTATTACAATGGAAGTGGTCGAGGCATTGAACTTTATAACAATGGAAGTATTCGAGGTATTAACTTTATAACAATGGAAGTAGTCGAGGCATTGAACTTTATAACAATGGAAGTAGTCGTGGCATTGAACTTTATAACAATGGTAGTAGTCGAGGCATTGAACTTTATAACAATGGAAGTAGTCGAGGTATTAACTTCAAAACAATGGAAGTGGCCGAGGCATTGAACTTTATAACAATGGAAGTAGTCGAGGTATTAACTTCATAACAATGGAAGTGGCCGAGGCATTGAACTTTTTAACAATGGAAGTAGTCGAGGCATTGTCCTTCATAAGAATGGAAGTAGTCGAGGCATTGAACTTTATAACAATGGAAGTAGTCGAGGTATTAACTTTATAACAATGGAAGTGGTCGAGGCATTGAACTTTATAACAATGGAAGTAGTCGAGGCATTGAACTTTATAACAATGGAAGTGGTCGAGGCATTGAACTTTATAACAATGGAAGTAGTCGAGGCATTGAACTTTTTAACAATGGAAGTAGTCGAGGCATTGTCCTTCATAAGAATGGAAGTGGTCGAGGCATTGAACTTTATAACAATGGAAGTAGTCGAGGCATTGAACTTCATAACAATGGAAGTGGTCGAGGCATTGAACTTTATAACAATGGAAGAAGTCGAGGCATTGAACTTTTTAACAATGGAAGTAGTCGAGGCATTGTCCTTCATAAGAATGGAAGTGGTCGAGGCATTGAACTTTATAACAATGGAAGTAGTCGAGGTATTAACTTTATAACAATGGAAGTGGTCGAGGCATTGAACGTTATAACAATGGAAGTAGTCGAGGCATTGAACTTTATAACAACGGAAGTAGTCGAGGCATTGAACTTTATAACAATGGAAGTAGCCGAGGCATGGATCTTTTTAACAATGAAAGTAGTCGAGGCATTGAACTTTATAACAATGGAAGTAGTCGTGGCATTGAATTTCATAACAATGGAAGTGGTCGAGGCATTGAACTTTATTACAATGGAAGTAGTCGTGGCATTGAACTTTATAACAATGGAAGTAGTCGAGGCATTGAACTTTATAACAATGGAAGTAGTCGTGGCATTGAACTTTATAACAATGCAAGTAGTCGAGGTATTGAACTTTATAACAATGGAAGTAGTCGAGGCATTGAACTTTTTAACAATGGAAGTAGTCGTGGCATTGAACTTCATAACAATGGAAGTGGTCGAGGCATTGGACTTTATTACAATGGAAGTAGTCGTGGCATTGAATTTATAACACTGGAAGTAGTCGTGGCATTGAACTTTATAACAATGGAAGTAGTCGAGGTATTGAACTTTATAACAATGGAAGTAGTCGAGGCATTGAACTTTTTAACAATGGAAGTAGTCGTGGCATTGAACTTCATAACAATGGAAGTGGTCGAGGCATTGAACTTTATTACAATGGAAGTAGTCGTGGCATTGAACTTTATAACAATGGAAGTAGTCGTGGCATTGAACTTTATAACAATGGAAGTAGTCGAGGCATTGAACTTTTTAACAATGGAAGTAGTCGAGGCATTGAACTTTATAACAATGGAAGTGGTCGAGGCATTGAACTTTATAACAATGGAAGTAGTCGATGTATTAACTTTATAACAATGGAAGAAGCCGAGGCATTGAACTTCATAACAATGGAAGTAGTCGAGGCATTGAACTTTATAACAATGGAAGTGGTCGAGGCATTGAACTTTATAACAATGGAAGTAGTCGAGGCATTGAACTTTATAAAAATGGAAGTGGCCGAGGCATTGAACTTTATAACAATGGAAGTAGTCGAGGCATTGTCCTTCATAAGAATGGAAGTAGTCGAGGTATTGAACTTTTTAACAATGGAAGTAGTCGAGGCATTGTCCTTCATAAGAATGGAAGTGGTCGAGGCATTGAACTTTATAACAATGGAAGTAGTCGAGGTATTAACTTTATAACAATGGAAGTGGTCGAGGCATTGAACTTTATAACAATGGTAGTAGTCGAGGTATTAACTTTATAACAATGGAAGTGGCCGAGGTATTAACTTTATAACAATGGAAGTAGTCGAGGTATTAACTTTATAACAATGGAAGTAGTCGAGGCATTGAACTTTATAACAATGGAAGTAGTCGAGGCATTGAACTTTATAACAATGGAAGTAGTCGAGGCATTGAACTTTATAACAATGGAAGTAGTCGTGGCATTGAACTTTATAACAATGGAAGTGGCTCACATAGAACTTGATAAAATCAAATCTCTTCTCAGTGACACATTTCTTATGACATCATCGTATCCTTGATTCCAAGTTGTTACAATAATAAAAATATGTGATAGAATATCACCCAATACCAACGTTACAACCCGAGTCATGCGATACTATAACCATAATATGAGAAAAACCTTTAAACGAGAGAATCAGTCGTCATTAACACGACACATGTAATTGTTTCAACTATATTTATGTATAATTTATACATTACCAGGAAGCTTTTGACATTTAACTACGTAGCCAGTTATACTTTAACACCAATTATGTTAACTGTAAAACATATTTTTAACATTTAAACGAAAGGAATGAAAGAAGAAAGAAAAAAGAACATGCTCAACAAAGGTATAAAATGGTGAATTATAGATAACATGCCTGACTCTGTTACGGGAAACGCTCATATCTGAAAAATATAATATTTGACATTAACTAAAACGTTAGCTTGGTATATGTAGTCTGTACAATGTAATATATAGTTATATACGTCCAGGCTTGTAACACCGCACTTTGGGGTCAAAATCGAGAAATTGACCTCAAAGTGCGTTAATATGCTAGATATCAACGCACTTTGGGTTTCCAGAGGTCTAAAGGTGTCATTTGAGTTCTGCTAAAATACTGAGTACTGACTAAATTTTCCGATCAGCGACATTGAAATATTTGAGGTGGAGTTCAAGATGGCGGTAGATACTTTGTTTTACTTAAGTGATAAAAGTTTCATTAATTTTACCACTTGAAATATCTAAATATTGTGTTCATATAACAAAGTACTCTAGTACATAAATTGTGAATGTAACTTGATAACTTTTGGTGCTATATTGAGCTCCATTTTAAATATGATGGGGATGTTATAAAATGCAGTTAATATGTTTTTCCAAAAACTGTAAATATGCTCTATTGCAATGTTCTGGCGAAATATCAAGTTTTTCGACCAGACTATAAATAGTGATTTTTTTTACAAATACAGTGAACTCGACAGTTCCGGGTCAGTAACGAAATTACCGAAGCGTGACGCTTTGAAACGAAAGTTGAGAGAAACTAAACTGCATAAATTGTGCAACAAATACTTCCCCCTTACTATGATATAATTCAACAATTCTAATAATTTGGTAAACTTATTTTTCAGAGTCTACATCTGCCCGCTGTATATTTGACAGTTTCGGGTCGCACTTGCCATTTCCGGGTCACGTGATAAAATGTTTATATTTGTCTTCGGGGGACATCTCAAACGATGTAACGATTCAACAAAACAGCTGTCATAATAACAACACTTTTATTGAGCATTTTTTTGTTCAATATAAAAAATAAAATGTAAATGAAAGAGGTAGAATATATCACAGGCAAAGAAAGAACAAAAATCACCTGCAATTACTTATTGCATATAAAAACATAAAATATTGCATATAAAAACATGGAAAAAAATAGACTGCAAGACATCAAATCAAATCAAATCAAATCAAAATTTATTTATTGTCGGTATACATATATAACACTTTACAAAACATAAGCTATGTATAGCTTATGACCGACATACATGCATATAAACATAAAACTCATAAAAGAAGCACATTAAGATAAACTTTGAAAGACAAATGATAAAAAAAGTTAAATTACTGTAATGTGGGATGTAGACACTAAATGTAATAATTTAAAGTAAAATAATAATAATAAATAAATAGTAATGATATGCTAAGGATAACATTTAATTACTGTATCATAAGTGAATAAAATAATATATATCTACATAAAAATGCGGAACATATTAGACCATACATAAAATAAGATTACAGTGGGTGGATTACAGTGGGTATTGGTTCTCCTGTGGCCTCGGCAAATATATATTACCGCCTTCATCTAATACAGAACGACACAACCCTGCCAAAGACCTAGGAACATGCCCTACAGGCAGATCAGCAATATCAAATAATTTTAAAAAAATATTTGGCATCTGTTACCATTGAGTGCATATTTTCATTGCACTGGTCTAATGGTGGTACACACACCAAACAAGCATTAATGTCTTTAATATTTGTGTATTCTTTATGTAATAGAAAGAGCACCGACACAATATAAAACCTCACTAAAAAGTAACCAATGAACTAGCATCTGAATAGGATATTTCCATCGCGTCGTCACAATATGACTGTAAACCCCGGACGAAATGAACCAATCAATGGGCATGCTCTGGAGTGCGGGTAACTAATACCTGCACTCAAGTTAACGCACTGTGCATGTATATGTAAACGATTTAACTCTGTCACATTTTCAACAGAAAGGTCCCCAAACTATGATACAACAACTCTTTAGCACATTGGAGGTACTGTATATGGTGGCCGAATCTTGTAAGCATGGTACCCCTTGATAACTGATTTCTGTATCTCAATGACTGAAATAGCTGGTCTATCATCATCATTACTGATACAAACACTCTCTGAACATCTTGTCTGTTGATCGTGTTCAACTGGATCGTTTATCGGCTGAAATAAAAAAAGTAATACAGTGCTATACTATTTTTTCTACTAAGAGCTGTCACATTCATTTTACAAATGCTGCACTTTGCACCACCGAAGTTATAACTCTATTATTTTTTATAATCCAATTAAAGTAAATACACAGCTGAGAAAAAGAGTAACATGCTGACAGATGGACAAGCTAGTGTAAGTATACTAAGAGTGCAACTACTTTATTTCCAATTACAGAACATACAGAATATATATTATAATCTTGTGAAAAACTTTATCTCAGTTCAGAAATATGTTTTAAAACAAATATTAATATCTTCGGTGTACAATCAGGACACTGGAATGGTTCATCTTCTCTAACAGGGTCTGCAATGTGAACAACAGGTATGTTCCGTTTTCTCTTCGGAGCCATATTCCTAAAAAAAGATCAATTTAATATTTATTCATACAGTAAATATAAAATGAAGCCAGCCCCAAACCCCCCCCCCCCCCCCCCAAAAAAAAAAAGAAATTCAAACAAACAACATCAACAAGTAAAACCGTACAAAAATCACTTGAAAAACACACACAAAAAATACATTTTGTTATCTAAGTACTGTAACAATATCAAAAACATACAACTTTTTAAGACTGGTTGAAACCATTGTAATAGTTCTATACAGAGGACACCATCCACATTTAAAGCATATCAAAATATATGTAGACACAAGTTTAAATGGATTAGTAACAAGGATTTACCTTAGATATATCAATATATACATTCAATTACTCTTCAAAAGTTACCAAAAACGTTTTTGAAAGACATCCCTAATTTTGAGAATTTCCCTCTGGCTGACCCGAAATTGGCATATGTAAACTAGGTCATATTGTCTGCTAGTTCTTCATAAAGACGTTTGACAAAAGCGATGAAAGTTTTAAATCTTGTTCAGTGATAAATAATCTTCAAATAATTGTGCAAAACATACCTGTATTACTTAAATTATTGATACAAATAACAGTTTTTGCGGTGGCATGTAAACAAATAATATCTGCTTTCACTTTCGTGGGAAATGATGCCGTCAAGCGTTTCGTGATTGCGACATCCATTCTTCAAATGACAACATCCGAAATCAACGTGAAAGTATCCTAGTTATTAGTCAGTATGATTTGATTATAAAATTTATGAAAACCTAAATCATTTCCAAATAATAAACATATTTTTCTGAATTTGACCCGGAATTGTCGACGACCCGGAACTGTCGAGTTCACTGTACAGCGAGTTAGCCAATAGCGGATCATAGCCAATAACGGGTCAGTCAGTAATTTAATAAATTATTTTACTTAATGCTTTAAACTTAAAAGTGTTATAACCTAACAGTCATGTGCATTTGGATGTTAGCTCCTCGACAGCGAAAAACAAATGTAAACATCCGGATAATTCTAATCAGATTCATTCAGATGCTTTACCAAGCGTTTCCGCTTGTCGCGAAATATTGCGCCAGTAACAACACAAATTCGCAGTCGCTGCTTTATTGCTGAAAAACCCCAAAAGATATAAGATCAAAGCTGGTAGGTATTTGATGACCAATATGTTAACTATCTGCAGCAGCAGTCGTTTAAAAAATGCATGAGGAATTATAGTGATAGCGCTGGTGAATTAAATTGCATCACGTTGCCCAATAGCGGGTCATGTAATTTTCCAGGAAGGGACCGCCTCAAAGTTATTCAACAGGTTTTAGAAAATATTTTTTAAAGCAAATTTTGGTTTGTATACAAATAAATATAAAATTTAATTTATTTATGTTATTATTGCAATTGAATTATGCAGTCCATGCTAAAATATGGTGTTTTATGTAGTATAAACTGCTGCAACATTGAAATTGTTCTAGACTAGATTCTAAAATATTATTTTTAACTGTACAGTAACTTCTTTATTTTTAAGTTATCCATTTTAAACTTCAAATACATGTTTTTTATCATCACCCACAGGATGTGTGACAAAATTTATTACTTTAGCACACATTTTTTTACAGAATTATTTCCCAATTGAGCTTAGAATTTTGTTTAAAATTTAAAACAAATTTATTATTATTATTATTTTTATTACTTCTTCATTTCTTGTGGTATCTACTTTTATCTTCAAATGTTTGTTACTTATTATCACACACATCACATGTGATAGATTTATCACTCTAGCATGAATATTTTTGTAATCACCCCCCCCCGGACTTTTGGTTATTGTTCTTTGTCATTACTCACATCATGACATGACAAGCTCATTTGTTTACTTGTTTTATTGTTTCAGATTCTAATGCCTAAGGGAAAGAGAAAAAGTGTTCAATGTAGTCCAGCCCAGAATGCAGCCTCCGCAGTGGTAAAAAAATACAGAGGGAAGCGAATGAGTCCTGGGAAAGTGCAGAGAGTGAGACGAGCCCTATACAGGTTGTAACAAGAGTATGTCACTAAGAAAAGCTGCATGTGACCATGTACTGTCATACGGGTTTTTGCAAAGGAGATACAGTGGGGAAACAGACATCAACACTATGAAAGGTCCTGCTACAGTTTTCACTGAACAGGAAGAAACATCTATGGCTGAGTGGTTAAGTGAGATGGCCCAGAGAGGCTTTGGCCACAGAATGTCTAACTGTAGAGCCTGAATATACAAATATCCATGATACTGATGCCTGCTTGGTGTGGTTGCCGCCACTTGAGTCATTCCAAACATTGTTACATGATAGTGTCACTGACCAAAAACGCCAGCTACGGTTGCGAGATGTAGCAGGACTTCCAATTAGCCATGTTCCACGAGGGATAGCTGGTTTTTTTCGTACCATTATGGACAAAGGACATATCGAAGCTGAAGTTACCGGTGAGCCCACTCAGAGTTTCCAACCATGGCCGGCTCCAAGTTCTGAAGGTGGTGGGGTTGTGTTGCCATGCAACTATATTATATTTCACCCAGATATTGAGAGTAATTTTCAAAAACTTTCTGTAATGTTAGATAAAATCCCAGAAGGCCCTGCTATGACACTGAACAAGGAATAAACATGTGTAAATTTTCAACTCTGTAAAAGCCAATTAAGCCTAACAATTCTATCATTATTTTTTTCAAAGTCTTGTTATTTTAAGGCTATCACTTTATTTTTTCAAAGCTTAGTTATTTTTAATGTCCATTTTGCACTTTCCAAAAGTTACTTATTGGTCATATTTCTGAACCATTTTTAGTTTCCTTTTTGCTTAGGTTTAGTACAGTAAAAGTTAATTAGTATTTTGTATTAATTTACTTGCTTTATTACAATGATTTTATATTCAAAGGTATTTTTATCAGATGATAAGCATCTCATATGATATAAATCCATATTACAACATATTTAAACTCATTTTTGCACTTTCGACAGAATTATTAATCTTTCATACACATAATGTGCCTGTAAGTGACTGAAAATTCATAATTTTTTGAACCAATCAAGTATTGTTTAATAATCTAGTCAATATTGTTTTACATCATTACATGTATTTTTTTAGGTTTGACATTGAACCAAGTCAATATTGTTTTACATAATTAAATGTTTTTTTTTTTAGGTTTGACGTTGAACCAAGTCAGTATTGTTTAATGATCGAGTCAATTTTGTTTTACATGATTACATGGGTTTTTCTTTAGGTTTGACTTTGAACCAAGTCAGTATTGTTTAATGATCTAGTCAATATTGTTTAACATTATTCACATGTGTTTTTTTAGGTTTGACGTTGAACCAAGTCAGTATTGTTAAATGATGTAGTCAATATTGTTTTACACCATTACATGTTTTTTGTTATAATTTTATTTGTTTATATCACAGAGTGTACTAAATAAGAGAAAATCAGTTGACACTTTTGTTTGTTTGTTATTCTTAGAAAGTGTTTCCTCATAATGACCACATAGAAGAACATGCAAATTTCTTGAGACTGCATTTTAACCTTTTGATTCACAACAAGAGACTTGTGTTACAGTTAATTAAATGGAATTTTACATAGAATGTGCACAAAATTGCTTCGATGAGCTGCTTTGTCCCCTGTAACCCTGAAAATGAAATAAATATGTTATCTACACAATTAACAATACATTGAGCAGATATCTAGATTAGCATTATTACAATCATTATTGTTTTTACCACAATCATGCAGCTGCCACTTGGATTCTTTACTTATTGGTACCCTTTTCACTTTAATACTCAGCGGTAACACATAGTTGTGTAATATTATCCTGGTTAAGGGAAGAATTTGACAGATAATTAATGTTTTGAGAAAACCCCACGTTCGTTTATCACGTGACCCGCTAATGGCCGATTTGACCCGCTATTGGCATGTTTACAAAGGGTTTGGAAACGGTAAATACACCACGATGCATTCAAAATATGAATTCACACGAAGTATACAGTAAAAGGGGAATAAAAATACTTCTTATCATCATACATTTATATATGAATCTAAAAATCGTTCGTTCATAAACACTAAAAGTATCGCTAGTGACCCGTTATCGGCCAACTCACTGTACATTATAAAGCTTATCAACAAACTTAAGTTTTTTTTTGTACGCTCCGTAACAATCGTTCGCCAGAGGCTGCTTTAATGGGAAATCTTGCATACTTCTTTAGAAAAAGCAAACATGTTAAAATAATGGTATCAGAGAAATGTTAGATGCTTGTAACCTGAAGTAGCGATAAAAGTGAAAAAATTTGTCATAAAAGTAGTCAAAACAATGTAGTATTTGACTTCCATATAAAATACTAAGTCACTATATATAACTGTACTCATCATTGCCAAAAAGCAACAGATGAAAAAAGGTAATAGGTCAATTTGATTTTTTGATATTATAGAAGAACACCAAAATAAATAAAAAAGCTTTCAAGAAAACAAATAAAAGCATAATGGGCCTTTAAAACGTTATTTTTAATTTATTTATTTTTGGCGAACAGATATAGCACGGAAAGAAGTTATGCTGATTAATGAAGGAAAATTGGCTAACAGGATATAGCTCGGACAGTAGTTATGCTGATTAAGCAAGGACAATTGGCGAACACATATAGCACGGACAGTAGTTATGCTGATTAAGCAAGGACAATTGGCGAACAGATATAGCACGGACAGTAGTTATGCTGATTAAGCAAGGACAATTGGCGAACAGATATAGCACGGACAGTAGTTATGCTGATTAAGCAAGGACAATTGGCGAACAGATATAGCACGGACAGTAGTTATGCTGATTAAGCAAGGACAATTGGCGAACAGATATAGCACGGACAGTAGTTATGCTGATTAAGCAAGGACAACTGGCGAACAGATATATCACGGACAGTAGTTATGCTGATAAAGCAAGGATAATTGGCGAACAGATATATCACGGACAATATTGAGAATTGTTGTATAGAATTATTATGGACACCAGTCGCATCTATATATGTACAACGGGCAAACGTGTTATTTAACCCTTTCCTTCATGAGCATATTGTAAAAAATGGCCGTTTTCATTGAAAAGCCTCCTGTTACAAGTTCAAACTGCTATAAAAAAAATGCTTCAATACTGATGAAACTTGTCACAAATGTTGACTGGAACATGGCCTCTCTAACAGCATGTTCAATCTTAAATTTCCTGTAACATTGGCAATGAGGGGAAGTCTCAAAATTGCCAAAAATCACAATTTTTAGCCTGTCTCATGTCCAAAATTTTCTTGGAGATGAGGGGGTCTGCCGCCCCCTTCAAACCCCCCGAAACAGAAGGGGGCACATCCCCTGGCAACCCCCTGATGTACCTTTTTGATGGGGAGGGGGGGGGGGGGGGGCGGCGCCGCAAAAGTGGTCACTTTTTTATCAACATTTCTCAAACGAAAAAAAAACAGTGTTTGGGGCCTAATTAATAGGGCATTTTTCATAGAATAGACAGTTTTTAGACAGGTATAGCACGGACAGTTGTTGGAATGGTATAGAATGGACAGTTGTTGGTCTGGTAAAGCACGGACAGTTGCTGGACTGGTATAGAATGGACAGTTGCTGGACTGGTATAGAATGGACAGTTGTTGGACTGATATAGAATGGACAGTTAAATTGTTGGACTGGTATAGCATGGACAGTTGTTGGACTGGTATAGAATGGACAGTTGCTGGACTGGTATAGAATGGAAAGTTGCTGGACTGGTATAGAATGGACAGTTGTTGGACTGGTATAGAATGGACAGTTGTTGGACTGGTATAGAATGGACAGTTGCTGGACTGGTATAGCACGGACAGTTGATGGACTGGTATAGAGTGGACAGTTGTTGGACTAGTATAGCACGGACAGTTGTTGGACTGGTAAAGCACGGATAGTTGTTGGACTGGTATAGAATGGACAGTTTTTGGACTGGTATAGCACGGACAGTTGCATGACTGGTATAGAATGGACAGTTGATGGACTGGTATAGAATGGACAGTTTTTGGACTGGTATAGCACGGACAGTTGCATGACTGGTATAGAATGGACAGTTGATGGACTGGTATAGAATGGACAGTTGATGGACTGGTATAGAATTGACAGTTGTTGGACTGGTATAGCAAGGATAGTTGCTGGACTGGTATAGAATGGACAGATGCTGGACTGGTATAGAATGGACAGTTGTTGGACTGATATAGAATGGACAGTTGCTGGACTGGGATAGAATGGACAGTTGTTGGACTGGTATAGAATGGACAGTTGTTGGGGACTGGTATAGCACGGACAGTTGTTGGACTGGTACAGCACGGATAGTTGTTGGACTGGTATAGAATGGACAGTTGCTGGACAGGTATAGAATGGACAGTTGATGGACTGGTATAGAATCGACAGTTGTTGGACTGCTATAGAATGGACAGTTGTTGGACTGGTATAGCACGGATAGTTGTTGGACTTGTATAGAATGGACAGTTGCTAGACTGGTATAGCACGGACAGTTGATGGACTGGTATAGAGTGGACAGTTGTTGGACTGGTATAGAATGGACTGTTGCTGGACTGGTATAGCACGGACAGTTGTTGACTGGTATAAAAATGAACAGTTGCTGGACTGGTATAGAATGGACAGTTTTTTTGGACTGGTATAGCACGGACAGTTGCATGACTGGTATAGAATGGACAGTTGTTGGACTGGTATAGAATGGACTGTTGCTGGACTGGTATAGCACGGACAGTTGTTGGACTGGTATAAAATGAACAGTTGCTGGACTGGTATAGAATGGACAGTCGTTGGACTGGTATAGCACGGACAGTCGTTGGACTGGTATAGAATGGACAGGTGTTGGACTGGTATAGAATAGACAGTTGTTGGTTCAGATAAAATGAACCAATACCATCTAATGCTGTCGTAAACTACCTTACAGCTTTTCATAATAAGGCAGTTTCGCTGCCACCAAAAAAAAAAAGAAAAAAGAAAAAGAAAGAAAAAAAAACCGAATTAAAACAACAAGATGTGCAACCCTTGAACATTTAAAGAGACGGATTGTAAACTGGTATCTTGTGGAGAAATTAATATTGATTCAAGATTTAAGGACTTTTCAAGCGCAAATTATTTATTCAGCGGATGTACGTTTTTATTTTAGCAGTTGTATATATGAGAATAAATTTTATTTCATTGATATTATTCGGAATGTTCGTTACCGATGCCCCATTTGAGCCTAGCAGGTGCTAAAATGCAGTGTTGAAGTGTACTGAGTATAATGGGCAGTTCGAAACCATGCGATAATATGTTATGTAATGCCCATTGACAGTGATAAAGACTGACCACATGTTAAATATTCCAGAACGTGAGAGAACATAACATACCTGATTTATTCGTGACGCAAAAGATCAACTTTACATTGTTTACTTAATAAGGATGTGTTTACAAGTTTACCGCTTAAGTCAGAAGAAAAAAAATACATATTGAAAGCCAGAAATTAAATAATGTTTGAGATGTAAGTGTGATATCTGAGGTTATTTTGTAATAAGATCACAGAATTGATTATGAATAATTTGACCACTCAATAAGTCGTACCCTCCGACAAATACGCTCCTGTACTTGGATACGCATACCTAAAAATCGATACCCGTGTACGGTAGATCTATACAAGATATATATTTAATGTAGCTATAAATAGAATAATTTAACAGATCATTTATAAGTTGAAGCAAAAACAAAATTTCATGTTTGACGCATACGGAATGAGGACACATCGGTCACCTGTTTTATACTTATTTACTTACATGTGATTTTAATCGAAAATGGGATGCGTATCTAGCACGGAGGTGAGGTCGCCACCCTTTAGACGTGAGTAATTGTTTATTGTTATATATGTAACCTATAGTTACTGTAATTTGTTTTGGTTTATTTTCTACAGAACAGACCCTGCTTCCTAACATGCGCCACCACGCCCTGACAATCTCCGTTATTTACATTATATAACACGAATGTGGGGTATCCGTACAGCATACAGAATATATATCATTAAACTTTTTCGTGCCCTCAAAAACATTATTTATCCCCAAAAATACAGTGTATCGTACAAGTCTTTTGGAGAACGCATGCTCTACTAGAAAACATATAATATGTTCGTATCACTGAAGTTAGTGGGAAAACAACAAAACATATAAATCGTTGTTATGATCAGTTAAACGGGGGCGTAGCAAGCAACGAAATTACGCAGGCGTAACTCCGCTTGACAGTTTCACGGTATGTATCCAGGTCTAGAAGGCTTGATCGTAATGATAAAATAACAGGCTCGAAGTCTTGAGAATAGTCTCGAGAATAGTGAAAATACCGGAAGTATTTCTACTTTTGTCTGTATATACACGCTGATTTCCATCTCAACTGTTGTTTTTTGTTTTTTTTTTAAGAAAGCCCCAGCATCATGGTGAAAATAACAAAGACAGTAGAAATATTGACCCACCACACAAATTTTGACATTTTTCCACCTCTTTTAAGGAAGTTATGTAAATAAACTATAACCTGTCTGGTCCTTTATTGTGCACCTCTGTTGCTTAACGGTTACGTTACTTTAAATCAAAAAGCGAGACGGATAATCGCTGGCTCCCTTGAAATATATGAAAGATAATACACAATGTAGAAGGCTCAAACTGAAAAATGACATGAAATTATTTTTTATCTTCAAGAAAATGTATCAATAATGATTTTTAATCAATTTTCAACTGTGAAATTACATTTTTATTTGTTTGGGTCGTCAGACCAAACAAATAATGGTAGCGAAATTTCAGAGTCTAATGTTGCTAATTGCAAATGCCGAAAGTAGTCCACTTTTTTTGGAGCGGTTACTTCCCTTTTGTATGTACACTAAAGCCGAAAAATTCAGGGGAGATCACTGCGTAAAGATGGTCAAAGACAGGCTCATCAATTTTCAAGCAAAGTAATTCCCGAATGGTCAAAGATTTCTAATATTGTTTTATTGTATTTTCTGATCGAAAATAACTAAATACAAAGCGGACATTCAATCTCTGACACAGAAGTTTACTACAAACCTAACAACAAGTAGTTCTCAAAACAGCTTAAAACTAGCGATTTAAAAGAAAGAAATATTTTATTTTGTTACAAGTATCCAACAAATTACAACGCATTTAAAGTTAAGCAATAGCGTTGGCTTATAGAATTGTCAATAAATGCACAATCACAAATTACGCGGATGAATATGATTTTATCAATGAAAATACTATTTTTAGCCATGTAGATTACCGAATACTACACAAACCGAGTAGTGGAATATATCACGGACTTTAATTGACATTTAATTTAAATCCGTGAATATATAGATTCTACATGCCGGACTGTTTGGGCGAGAGGATTTTCGCTACAATATTTACTTCAATTATAAACAACAGGTTTACCCTGAACAAAATACCACGAAATTAATAAGGATTACAAACCCGAACTGCAATGGAAGTTCTAAATTTAGAATGACTTGATATTATTCAGCCTTACTGTGTATAACTTCTCCGTAGTACAGTGGTAAAGCGCTCGCTTCGTGAGTGAGAGGTCTCGAGTTCGAATCCCACTCCAAGAAACTTTTTTTTTTTTGTTAAATTCTTTTTTTTAAGTGTTTTTGTTAAGGAAGTAGCCATGATATACAAAGATAAAGTGTGGCTGTCGTAAAAATAAGAACATAAATGATTTTTTGACGCAACTCTAGTTATGCAGAATTCCGTATGTTTCAAACTCTGGTGCCTTACAAAAGGAATTATAATACATAAAAATAAACTTATACAGGAAAATGCATACAGATATACAGTACGATTTAGATTGCAAAGATCAGAAAATACCACAGAACTTGCAGCCGTTTGATTCTTTATAAATATACATGCTTATAGTAAGCTGCAGGATTATTTACATCTGTGTTAAACAACAGTTAAAAGTCGTTACAAGCCCTAATTTAGAATAATATGGTTTTCTTCAGGCCGTTCACATATTAATTCACCGTGGCTGAAGGGTTTTCGGGCTCGCTTAGGAAGCGAGAGGTCTGGAGTTCAAATCCTAGTAAAGGTAACTTATTTTTTTTAATTGTTAAAGTCAAATAAACATTGGATTGAATATCAGTGTTGCAAATAGTCTTATAGCCAATTTACTACAATTAAAACGCTGGAAAGCATTGGTGGCACTAAACATATAATCTCACAACCTGCACCTTTCTTACATTCTGAGACCCAAACAAATGCAGCGCCTTCTGTGCTTTGATTTTCTAACCCTTTGTCTGTACGGCACGGTGCGTGAGTATGTTAACAATTTCTGAGGACGACACTTCATCGATGGACTAATTGTATAAAAGTGTTAAAAGCATTTATTTTCATGAATTTAATACTTTTAGAACCTTGCAGGTTTTTTTCAAAATGCCCTACGAAAGATGCAAAATTTGGAGATTTAGCTCAAGTTCACGCATATATTCTGAAGAAAATAAATACTGTCAGAATATTCAAATACATGCACCGAAATAATTGTTCTATGCTAAAGATTTATTCCAATTTTCAAAGCAAAAAACATGTTAAACCGTGGTAATATTACGCCCGTATGATTATTACGCGACACCGGTCCATACTACACGTAGTTTGTGCTTTGCTTGTAAGGAACTGGATCCGGTATCTAGTCATATACTTCTTCCGACCCTTGCATCGCAGTATTATCTCTATATTGTCTCATAAATGTGCTGATTTGACAGATTGAAAATTCGAATCGAGAGACCAACGCATTTTCCCCCCATTCTATCATTATTTAAGCATGCCTACAAAAGTAAGCCTACAAAACGTTAGTGTTTAGAAACGTTAATAAAAGTAAATTACCAGTTGAACCTATTTTCCTGTTCGTCAAATGCGATTGAAAAAATAAACAATGTTACAGTATAGAGCTATGTGAATTGTGGAGGGTTACAGCATAGATTTTTATCCGATTTTGTTACAGTTTATAACCAGATTTCGGTTACAGATACATCTCTACTCAGCTGTTTATTGGCCCGATGGCTATTCGTCCGTCTGTCATACACAAGTGTGTCCAATCTCATCCGCTCAGAAACTACTTGACCGAATTTGATGAAATTTACATGAATTTCTACCAAAGTTGTTCAAATGGTTTCGGTTGCAATCTGGGATACGAAAACCAAAAATCTGGATTTCAAAAAAGGGAATGTTTAAAAATCCTACTGTCGAACCAAAAAGCATTCAAATCAAATCATGACCCAGGCGTCATTTCGGAATGCTTCTTTGTTGAAGTGAAGATTATTTTGTCATTATTAGATTAAAAGTCGTTTTTTATTTATTTCAGACATCCTATATAGAAGTTTTCATGTTTCTGAAAAGAAAAAAAAATATTGAAATATATAGAGTATAAAGGTCAGACAATTACAATATCTTTTCCATAGAGTCTGGTGGAGGTACATAATAGTGGCAGAGTCAGGATAAGGTCGCCGACTTTAAATCATCTTTCCTTTACTGCGGTGGTTGAAATCCAATCATGACTTTGGATTCTTTGTATGTGAGGAATCTATCAAGCTAGTTTAGGAAGGTCAGTGGTTCTAGTCAGATGCCCGCTCGTGTCTGAAATATTTCACAAAGGGATATCTGTGGGGTCTTTCTTTACAGTAAAGCATGAATATGTTTACATGACCTCAATGTCGGCGAAACTTAAAATCCAAGAAAACCAAAAGTAACAAACCCTTTTTAAATACTTACAAAATACATAATTGTTGATGGAAATTCCAACTTAAAACAAGGTTGCATTATTTCTCACTTGAATACTGTTTAATCATCATTAGGGTATGCTGCCTGCTTTTTAATTGTGTCTTTTGACAGCTTATCTGTGGTATGCAGGCTTCATAACCTCGGATCCCCTTTCAAAATTCCATTTTATTTAGTTTCACCCATTGTATTCTCACAAAAACTTCTTTTAGAAACTAAACTACTTGTAGTATGGACCGGAATAACAATCACCTACCTGTCTTCCTCATCTAAGCGCGATGCTGTAGCACGTTCCCTACGGTGTTTACCATAATGTGATTGTTTACCAACGAGGAAGACAGTAAAAATGGTGAAAATCTATCGAAATTTATGAAGTAGGTCAAAATGGTGATTTTCACCATGTTTGCAAAAACCGATAGCAGTTTTATATTGCTAATGTTCACTTCGGGAAAAAAACGGGATGGAAATCAACTTAAATAAAAAATACACACGATATTTTCACTATTCACACGACTTGGAGCCTGTTATTATCATAAGAGTCTGACATTATCATCAAACCCTGATGATCTGGATACATACCCTGGTGTATATTATCAAGGATAAGTCTTCCATAAACATATTCAAAAATTTTAGGAAAAATGGACTAAATGAAAATATTAGTTTTCGTTTATGTTTCTTTCCGAAATAGGTTTTATACGGTATGTTATATATCAAACATTGGCTGACGTGATAAACGGGAATCTCTAGCTCTCGGGTAACTGTGTTTAGCCGAAACTCGACAAAGCCACGTTACAGTAAACAGTTACCCTCGAGCTGAGCTAGATATTCCGACGGACAGTCGATGTAAGATTCTTACAACATAATTATGCCGTTTTAAAAAATATGCACTGACCTATGTTGGCTGATTTCTACGGTGGAAAAGATGTGACATTTGCAGTATATTTTAATCTCGTGGCCACGACTTATTATCTTGTGGCCATGACTTATTTTCTTGTGACCTCACGATGTTATCTTGTGGCCGCGACTTATTATATAGAGTCCTTGAGCAAGATATTATCTCGCGGCCACGACTTATTTTCTTGTGGCCTCACGATGTTATCTTGTGGCCGTGACTTATTATATTGTGTCCTCAAGATGTTATCTTGTGGCCGCGACTTATTTTTTGTGTGTCCTCAAGATATTATCTTGTGGCCACGACTTATTATATTTAATATATTATCTCGTGACCAGATTTATTATCGTGTGACCACAACTTATTATTTTGCGGTCACAACTCATTTTAGCCAATGAAAATAATCGTTTCATCTTAAACGAAAGTTAATATCACACTGGTAATAGCTTTCGCAAAAACGTTGAGTTAAACGCTGTGGCAGTGGTGCATTCGCCACAGAAGCAGTGAAAAGATATTGCTTACAGTTCACTTCCCCCCCTATCTAGATAATTATTATTAAATAACTGCATCATTATCTTGTGGCATTGAGATAATATCTTGAGGCAACACGTTAATAACTCGTGGCCACGAGATAATATCTTGAGGCCTTGAGGTAATAAGTCGCTGCCACGAGATAAAAATACTGCAAATGCCAACTCTATGCCACCGTAGATTTCTGCCATATTGTGTCGTCGTGTCTTCACCCCGACACAAAGACACAATATGTTTTAGGCTAAATAACGATATAGTTAGTAAAGTGCAGTAGTATATTTTTAGATTTTAATGTTGTTTTATGGATCAAGGAGAACTGCTTTACTTTTGTGTATTCTTATTTTAATTTAAAGCACAATCACAGCCGTGTAAGTCCGGGTACTTGTTATACAGTGATGGCTATACAAAATGGAAGAAAGTATTTGTGGTGTTATTTCAAGATTCAATGATGGCATGGTTCCGGAAACCTAAAGAACGTATGCCTATTTGTCACGTCACGTTAAAGGTAAACATAAAGAGCGTATGCTTATTTGTCACGTCACCGTTAAAGGTAAACATGAAGAGCGTATGCTTATTTGTCACGTCACGTTAAAGGTAAACCTAAAGAACGTATGCTTATTTGTCACGTCACGTTAATGATAAACATAAAGAGCGTTTGCCTATTTGCCACGTCACGTTCAAGGTAAACCTACGTGTGTATGCATATTTGTCACACGTCACGTTAAGAGTATATTCCTATTTGTCATGTCACGTATTAGTAAAGCTAAAGTGTGTATGCCTTTTTGTCACGTCACGTTAAAATTTATCAATTTGTACCCGTTTTTTATTAAAATGTTTTTACTAACAATATATCAGTATGTTCCTGTTTATTGTTAAAAGCTTTATATTTACAATTTATCAATTTGTTCCCGTTTGTTTTTAAAATATTTATGCTTACAATTTATCAATAATTATCGTTATTTTGTATGAAAAATTGAAAATGTTTATTTTCTTTACTCTGAGCTTCCATACATAACTTTATACAGTTTCTAGATCACTATTGTTTCAAAAATATACCTTATAACCACATTTTATATAACCTGAATATATACCAAAATCAATATGTTTCAGAACGTCTGTAATATGTTAGCAGTTGGTCCTATTTGCAAGAAGATCCCAAACTGCCCGAAGAAAATCCCGAAGAAAACGAGCTATAGTTATATGATAGCCTTCCCACAGTGGGCAACACCCGGGACAACCGGCAGCAACTTGTCTAGTCCAGTCTGTTTCTTTCTGTGTCCTAACGGAAGTGCAATGGGGTATGTTTTAGTACTTCTATCATAAAAATAAATATACTATAACACCTTACCCAAGGCAAATGATTGCTGTAGATGAGGATATACAAGTGTTGTACATTGACAAAGTGTAGGTGAGGATATACAAGTGTTGTAGATTGTCAAAGTGTAGGTGAGGATATACAAGTATGGTAGATTGACAAAGTGTAGATGAGGATATACAAGTGTTGTAGATTGTCAAAGTGTAGATGAGGATATACAAGTGTTGTAGATTGTCAAAGTGTAGGTGAGGATATACAAGTATTGTAGATTGACAAAGTGTAGATGAGGATATACAAGTATGGTAGATTGACAAAGTGTAGATGAGGATATACAAGTGTTGTAGATTGACAAAGTGTAGGTGAGGATATACAAGTATTGTAGATTGTCAAAGTGTAGATGAGGATATACAAGTATGGTAGATTGACAAAGTGTAGATGAGGATATACAAGTGTTGTAGATTGACAAAGTGTAGATGAGGATATACAAGTGTTGTAGATTGACAAAGTGTAGATGAGGATATACAAGTGTTGTAGATTGTCAAAGTGTAGGTGAGGATATACAAGTATTGTAGATTGACAAAGTGTAGATGAGGATATACAAGTATCGTAGATTGACAAAGTGTAGGTGAGGATATACAAGTGTTGTAGATTGACAAAGTGTAGATGAGGATATACAAGTATTGTAGATTGACAAAGTGTAGGTAAGGATATACAAATGTTGTAGATTGACAAAGTGTAGATGAGAATATACAAGTATTGTAGATTGACAAAGTGTAGGTGAGGATATACAAGTATTGTACGATTGACAAAGTGTAGATGAGGATATACAAGTGTTGTAGATTGACAAAGTGTAGATGAGGATATACAAGTATTGTAGATTGACAAAGTGTAGATGAGGATATACAAGTGTTGTAGATTGACAAAGTGTTTGATGAGGATATACAAGTGTTGTAGAATGACAAAGTGTAGATGAGGATATACAAGTGTTGTAGATTGACAAAGTGTAGGTGAGGATATACAAGTATTGTAGATTGACAAAGTGTAGATGAGGATATACAAGTATTGTAGATTGACAAAAGTGTAGATGGGGATAAACAAGTGGTTGTAGATTGACAAAGTGTAGGTGAGGATATACAAGTGTTGTAGATTGACAAAGTGTAGGTGAGGATAAACAAGTGTTGTAGATTGACAAAGTGTAGATGAGGATATATAAATGTTGTAGATTGACAAAGTGTAGATGAGGATATACAAGTATGGAAGATTGACAAAGTGTAGGTGAGGATATACAAGTATTGTAGATTGACAAAGTGTAGGTGAGGATATACAAGTATGGAAGATTGACAAAGTGTAGGTGAGGATATACAAGTATTGTAGATTGACAAAGTGTAGGTGAGGATATACAAGTATTGTAGATTGACAAAATGTAGGTGAGGATAAGCAAGTATTGTAGATTGACAAAGTGTAGGTGAGGATATACAAGTATTGTAGATTGACAAAGTGTAGGTGAGGATATACAAAGTATTGTAGATTGACAAAGTGTAGGTGAGGATATACAAGTATTGTAGATTGACAAAGTGTAGGTGAGGATATACAAGTATTGTAGATTGACAAAGTGTAGATGAGGATATACAAGTGTTGTAGATTGGTGAAGTGTAGATGAGGATATACAAGTGTTGTAGATTGACAAAGTGTTGATGAGGATATACAAGTGTTGTTGATTGACAAAGTGTAGGTGAGGATATACAAGTGTTGTAGATTGACAAAGTGTAGATGAGGATAACAAGTGTTGTATATTGACAAAGTGTAGATGAGGATATACAAGTATGGTAGATTGACAAAGTGTAGATGAGGATATACAAGTGTTGTAGATTGACAAAGTGCAGATGAGGATATACAAGTGTTTGTAGATTGACAAAAGTGTAGGTGAGGATATACAAGTATGGTAGATTGACAAAGTGTAGATGAGGATATACAAGTATTGTAGATTGACAAAGTGTAGATGAGGATATACAAGTGTTGTAGATTGTCAAAGTGTAGGTGAGGATATACAAGTATGGTAGATTGACAAAGTGTAGATGAGGATATACAAGTATTGTAGATTGACAAAGTGTAGATGAGGATATACAAGTGTTGTTGATTGACAAAGTGTAGGTGAGGATATACAAGTATGGTAGATTGACAAAGTGTAGATGAGGATATACAAGTATTGTAGATTGACAAAGTGTAGGTGAGGATATACAAGTGTTGTAGATTGACAAAGTGTAGGTGAGGATATACAAGTATTGTAGATTGACAAAGTGTAGGTGAGGATATACAAGTGTTGTAGATTGACAAAGTGTAGGTGAGGATATACAAGTATGGTAGATTGACAAAGTGTAGATGAGGATATACAAGTATTGTAGATTGACAAAGTGTAGATGAGGATAACCAAGTATTGTATAGGTTCGGATACTTAGGTAGAGAAATGTGTCGCACGTCTTGCAGATAATTTACTGACAAACCACATTAATGAATTAACAAATCAGCTGTAGCGTTCTAAATTTCATATATGCACAGCATTTGTGTAAATACTAACTAACAAAGTAACTATAGTTGTTTATCGCTGTGCATATCTCACGTTACGTTGTTTGGACGCTCATTAAGCATAGAATATGTACATGTAACTAGGGATAAATATTGACTATTTTCTAGTTGTTTATTATCTTATTATCGTGAGTCATACAAAACGAGCATACAAACAAAATACAAGGAAACAAAAATTATCAAAACAATAAGATAACAAGTCCGTCAGTTGAAAGGAATATGATATTAAAAATATGTTAATGAAATAGATAAATTCTTACTATAATCATTATACAAGATTAATTTATAAAGTAACTATTTTTGCACAACAACTATACTGCAAAGTTCGTCGTACAAATTGAGTGAAGTCGTTGAAGGGAAATATCTTACTTAAGGCAGATGTTTCGCGGAGATTTTAGAGTTATGCACCTGAAATATTTGTGAACACATTCATACAATATTTCAACTTATGTGTACAGTGTCCTCTCTTACGAGACTATACAGTAACATTACTATAGTTAGGCACACAAACGAAGACACAACAGTTAGGCAAATACAAACCAGAAAAGCACAGTAACACGGAGGATACAATATACATTTGTACTAGTGATCACACGTGTTACATTACACATACATACAATGTTAGTAATGAAAATTGTAGACATGAATGTAACATATTTTGGGTATCTGCAGTTAGTTGTTAGCTGTAACAATGCTACTTTTGTTATGTGTTTCTCCAATGTAAGACTGATCTGGTTAGATGGGTATCACATGACTATCAAACCTATAAATAAAGGGGGGTAATTATTACACATTTTACGTATGTTCGAATAACTTAGATATCTGACACCAAGCATTTGCCCTGTGGACATCCACAAAAGTGATACAAGTCATGCCCCTGAGGTCAATATTGACCCAACCCCAGTGTTCACTTAGATAGGAAAACATATATACATGTATGTTTTACTTATTTCACATGTATAGCAAAAAACCCATACATAGATTTACATGTATATAGTAAACATGTCTTAGAAGTCTCTGTGGGTATTGATGTTACTGACGTAAATAGAGGTAAAAAAAGAAAATTATTTGTTACCATATCATTTAGATTCCACTAACAGTTACACAAAATAAGCATGCACATACGGTTATATATGTCCCTACCCTTGGCGTCTTTTAGTATCATAATGAGAATTAAAATAAGACATGTTCCATACAAGTGGGCGACTCTTAAGTTAAGTTTTTTCTTTTTATTTTATTTCTTAACACAAATTTGCATTTGGGCGTATATGCGCTGCTCTTTTACTAAATTCACCACATTCGTCAGAAAGACCCCCCCCCTACCCCCCCCCCCCCCCCCCACACAAACACACACACTAGAATACATTGTTATCGCCGTTCCTGGAAGGCGATATATACAATTGACAAGATTTGAAAACAGTTCTACCTGTACACCGCCTGCCTTTAGCCAATCAAAGCGAATAATTCAGTATCACATGATAACAAAATGGACGTGAAAAAAATCAATTAGGGATGCTTAAATGGACTCGCTCAACCGCCATGCTTTGCCAGGTTACTTATTCGTACAACTGAAAAATACCATTATCAATGCACCAACTCAGTACCAGTCTTTTGTCTCTTGCAGGATAAACACAGACAATTGCAATCTTTTTTGCTACATGATCTTTTCTGATTAGAGAATGTAGTCTAAAAAAGAGTATATCCAAAACTTGCACTATATAAATAGCATGTTCGCAGAAATCAATTTTACTGTGTAGTAAGTAACTGTTGTTAATTAGCTTATTCTTTTTGCCGATGGATGCACGTACTAATTAAGTAGCGCATGTAGTCTAACTTATTGTACTATGTTATCTATGAGTCAAGTTATTATGATGGGCAATACTGGGTATCTGCTACATTCTGACCTAGCAGAATCTAACTGAACGCGTCAAAATAGTTTGACAAGAACGGAATAGTAGAGTAAATCAACTTTTTTGTTGGCTTTATGTGTTGACAACATACAATAATAATATATTAAGGCAAGAAAGGAAATATTATTTAGATCTATATTCATGGCTGAACGGCGATTCCAAGTATTTTTGGAAATGCTAATACTTGTAGAGTACTTGCTATCATCAGAGTAGTAACATACAAAAAGTAAACACGATATACATGTAGGTGTTTCTCAAATTAATTAAGAATGGTTGTATTGTCACCAGAAATGTTAAATGTATAAAATAAATATATTAATTATCAATCTGACTAAAGTTCAGATTTACTTCAGTTTGCATGTATGCGTAGAGTTAATAAGGAGCTGATTTTATTCAGATTAATTAATTTCTAAGTTATTATTGTTTTTCTTTTTTTACAGAACATGGATGTCATCGATAGCAGAAATTGTAAGTTTCAAATGTACAGGAAATATTTATTGCATAAGTGTATTATTTTGATGGGTGGTATTTCCACCTTACATAGTCCAAGAGAATAGAGCACTCGTGTAATTTTTTGTTATTTTATGACTGCGTAAAGAATAGCCTTTGACTATATAAGCTTGTACACAACACAAGTTATAGTACAAGACTGTTACATACATAAATCCATATATTTATGTGCATTGATGAAGAATGAATGATTATACTGTCGTAGAAATTTATTTTCTTCAAATTATTTAACCATAAATGATTACAACAAATAATTGTTAAATCACATTGTGAATTAATTTTCATATATATAAAGATCTACATTATATATATCGGTTTTTTGTATGGTTTTAGCTTCCACCGCCAAATGTACCTGCAGCTTCACAAAATGGCGCTAATCCAGGGGCTTATCCTCCACCGATGAACGGGCAGCCTGCATTCCCGCCACCTCCGGGGTACGGTCAACCATCACCAGGATACGGCCAACAACCGCCTGCATACGGACAACAACCGCCGGGATATGGACAACAACTTCCGGGTCAACAAACAGTCGTAGTCCAACAGAGACATCGGCAAAGAAGAGGATCTCGAAGTTCTGGTGATTTCTCAAAAGGTATGTACACGTAATTATAAGTTTTTAATTTCAAAATAACTTTTAAAGATATTTTGCAAAGATAACTAGCTAATTGGCTACATTTGTTATATTAAGAAGACTACTTCAGTTGTCTATTTGTATTTATTTCAGCAACTTTATTGACGAATTGTAATTAAATTAACGTTATTTTTAAATGATAAAATCTTATCCGATGATCTTTCTGTTTTAAAAGAAAATTAATAATTTTCAGGATTCCTAGCTGGTGCGGCTTTAGGTTATGGTTTTGGACGGCCCTGGGGTTGGGGTTGGGGCTGGGGTTGGGGTTATGATCCATGTTATGGTTGGGGCTATGCTGACTATGATATGGATGTAGATGTAGATATTGATGTTGACGTTGATGTTAATTATGACGGAGATCTTGCCTCGGTGAATGATTTCGGAGGAAGCGATTTTCAAGACTACGGCGATACTGCTGATGCCGGCGGGGATGCAGACTTCGGACTTGCTGATTACGATACTGGTGGCGGGGATGGAGACTGGGGAGGACATTACGGGGAAGGAGATTACGGAGGAGGGGGTGATGGTGATTATGGTGGTGCGGATTATGGAGGCGGAGACTTTGGTGGTGGTGGTGACTTTGGTGGTGGTGGTGACTTTGGGGGCGGAGACGGTGGTGGAGGGGGATGTGGGGGCGGAGACGGAGGTGGGGGTGGATGTGGGGGCGGAGGATGCGGGGGTGGAGGTTGCGGCGGGGGCTGTGGAGGATAGTTTGAATGGTATCCACAATTTCATTTTATAAAGTTGCGCAATCAAGAAGGCATAAAGAATTTGACAAACTCAAATCTCATTGTGACATTTATCAGATATTTTTCTTATCAGTGATCCTGCCTTAATATTATCACAATATTTTACTGCAGAGATCGTTTGTTGTTTAACTGTTAAAGAATCGGGAGGTAGTAAAAAGACAATTTACCTGATGCGGCATAACATGAAGTAAATGAAAACATAGCATATATTTACATGTAAACATTATCAGTTATTATGTAAACATTACAAACAATTTTGTGTACAACATTACTCAGGATTATATGTTAACACTATTCTTCCTCCTCATGTAAAGGAAGGACTGTGTTTGTTGAAACTAACTGAGAAATGACAATTTAAACTCATCTAGAAGTCTAAAGCCTTCCGATTGTATGTACTGCGCCATTTTGATATTAGAAAGTTTTACTCTGACAGTAAACGACAGTAAAAAGCAGTATATTATAGTGACCATTGAACAAACGCAATAAAGTTTAGTAACAAAAAAAAAAAACAAATATGTTATGCCGGTTTGCCACGGCGAATTGGTATTACGTAATGATTTTACTGAGGACACAATAGACCAAATGCTTGCCTACCAGCTTTTTATATGATTCACCTAAGCTTATTTGGCCAATCAAATTTAATCTTACATATCGGCTAAAAATCTTCAATTTTAACGCCATTTTTAAAAGTAGCAAGTATTGCTTTGAGGATGATTTAACATGTAAGTTTTCGCGATTTCTTTTTAATTAATCACACTTACACTGACGTTTGATTTACTTTATCTCTAAAATTAGATTTTGTTTGGTTAAATAACATAAGTGTCCATCTGCTTACAAATATATTACTATATCATATTCCTCTATCATTCGTGTTTGTAGTAGACCACCTATAGTATAATTATTTTGTTGACAAATTATCATTTTCGTTTTGTCATTTTGTCATCTATTTCATACATGTATGCTCAGATATAGCCTAATGTTTGATATTATTTTTACATGTTTATTTTCAATTCACTTTTTTGATAAATTCCTTAAAACAACCACAAGGATTTCTTTGTCTCCTTGCAATACAGTTGAGAATCAATCCATAAGACTGTAAGTTAACTGCAGTGAAGGGCAAGTTTAAAAGCTGTAAAAAAACAAAAACAGAACAATTAGCTGGACTATTTGAAGACTAATGAGAGCTGTCCCAGACCCCGAGCGTCAGTATAACCATTATGTTAGTTTGCGTACCACCTCAAATATTTTCAAAGCTCATTGACATACAACTTTGAAATTTTGCACACTTGTTTACCATCATGTTTCCAACTTGTAACCAGGAGGAGGTAACTATATCAAGCACTTTCACAGAATTATAGCCCTTTTTAACTTAATATTTACGTTAAAGTTTGCGTACTACCTCAACTATTTTCAAATTACATTGGCATTTAGCTTTAGCAAACTTCAATGCCTGGAGCATGTAGCATTGCCTTGTAAACTTTCAAAACAAATGTTAATATTGACCCATGAGTCAACTTTCGCCCTACACAAGGGGTACTTGATTTATATAGAAGGTTGTAACGTGCACGAGCTAGCTGTTATATATATGGGGGTATATAGGATCACCCGGTGGTCGGTCGGTCCTGCGGTCCGTTGCATTTTCCTTGCCCGGAGCATAACTTGAAGACTAATGGTTGGAATTCAATACAACTTCATACAATGGTCAAACACATTGAGAGGAAGTGCAGTGCACAAGAACCATAACTCCATCTTGACTAATTACAGTTATTGCCCTTTGATAGAAGCATAACTTGAAAAGTACTGGTTGTAATTCAAAACAACTTCATACAATGGTCAAGCACTATAAGAGGAAGTGCAGTGCACAATAACTCCATTGTGACTAATTACAGAGTTATTGCCCTTTAATAGTTTTCCTTGTCTGAAGTATAACTTTAAAAGTACTCGTTGGAATTCAAAACAACTTCATACAATGGTCAAACACAATAAAAGGAAGTGCAGTGCACAAGAACAATAACTCCATTTTGACTAATTACAGAGTTATTACCCTTTGTTACTTTTCGTTGTCCGAAGCATAACTTGAAAAGTACTGGTTGGAATTCGAAACAACTTCATACAATGGTCAAGCATAATAAGAGAAAGTACAGTGCACAAGAACCATAATTCTATCCAGAATAATTATAGACTTATTGCCCTTTGTTACTTTTCCATTGTTTTTTTCTTGTCCAGAGCATAACTTGAAAAACACTAGTTGGAATTCAATACAATTTCATATAATGGTCAATCACATTGAGAGAAAGTGCAGTGCAAAAGAAACATTACTCCATCTTGACTAATTATAGAGTAATTGCTCTTTGATACTTTTCCTTTTCCGAAGCATAACTTGAAAAGTACTGGTTGGAATTCAAGTAATTCAATAAAACTTCATCAATGGTTAACCACAGTGGAAGGAAATGCAACATACAAGAACCACAGCTTTCTTTAATTGCTCACAACCATAACTCTATTTCAATTTTTTGACAAGGTATTCTGTTTCTAGTAACTACCTCATTTCCGAAGCAGTCTTGCGGGGGTATTAATCACATATAGTGATAGTTCTTGTTTAATATTAGGCTAGGCATTTAAGCCAAAAATAAGACACAACCTCAAACAAATTCCTTCAGAAAAGATATTTGCATGTTTGTTATCTACTATATATGTGTTGCTACAGGAAAAAAGTCCTCAAAAAAAAATGCGAAGTATAAAATGCTAAAAATGTCATGTATTAAAATCATATGAATTTTCAATAAGAAAAATATGTGAAATTAAAAACCCTTGTATTTCTTACAGTTACTCTACGCAAATATTCGTCATTAACAAAGTAACACATTAATACACAAAATTATTTAATCTAAAACACTTTAAATAACAAAAGTTCATTACATTCAAAAAGTCGCAACACTGCATAATCAATTAATAATCATTCAGACTGGTATAAAACATTACCCCGCCCACTAATGATAAATCATTTTTTTCCATTTCAAGTCAGATTCCATTAAATATTCTTATAATTTAGCTCTACCAAGAAAAGAGTTGTATGAATCTTTCTAAATTGATAATATAAGTCAAAATTCCAATGCATTTTACACAATAATTGTGATTTATATACATTGTGTTTGCATTTCTGTTCTGAAAATCAATCCGTCGCAAAGGGTAAATATCTTGCCAATGTTAAATTGCACTTACTTTACAAGGAAAATTTTGTATACCATTTATTATAAAAAGACATTTTAAAAGAGAAAGAATCTTCTAACGTTAAGATACAGAAAATAACAACACAATGTTATTTCATCATTTTTGTCACCGAGGCCCGACAATCCATATAGTCGGACAACAGTCCATGTACAATGCTGAAATTATATCTCCTGTAACTTTTGTGGCCGGTGCTGTTCATCCCATTAGCCCTTCTTACAAATACACATTGTTTGTATCTGTAAGAAAATGACTTATAACATAATATGATAATAAAAAAGCGAATTTTGCATTCTGCCTTTTAAATGAAACAATTTTATGACAAACTGAAAATGTAGGGTTTTTTTGTTTTGTTTTGGGTTTTACGTCACATCGACACAGTATAGGTCATATCGCGACGTTCCAGCTTTACTGGTGGAGGAAGACCTCAGGTGCCCTTCCGTGCATTATTTCAGGCACGAACGGGTACCTGAGTAGAACCACCGACGTTCCGTAAGCTAGCTGGATAGCTTCCTCACATGAAAGAATCCAAAGTTCTTGTCGGGATTCGAACCCACAGAGGTGAGGGGCAAGTGGTTTGAAGTCAACGACCTTAACCACTCGGCCACGGACGCCCCGAAAATGTAGGTACTAAAGTGTAAAGCAAGCTATAATTGTGTTTTCAGCTGTATACTTCTGTAATGAATTATCTACAAATAATTCTTACATTAATGAGGCATGTTTAGCCCAAGCAATGAATACATTTTTCTTCTTTAGAAAACATATATATATATATATCACGTAATATTGTTATAACGAATTTAAAGCGTGTAAATTATCGCCGTTTTCCTCCATCTATAAATTCAATAAACCAGTCGGCTATGAACAAAGCAATCCGATTATGTTGGTTCCCAAACTTAAAAGCGCTGCGCATTTTGCACACGGCAAAGCTGGGGCCACGTTTGAATTTATCGAAAGATTTTGTAGATGGAGGAAAACGGCGATAATCTTGATGTTTATTTCGGCTGTTGCGTTGTTTATATTACCGTTGAAGTTTAAAATTGACCATCATCGTGAAGAATTATATCTTCTGTGTCGATGGACCAAAGGATTATGTGAAAATATTGGAAATGGAATAAAATACATGGTGATTATGACGGTAGGGGTGCGGATTTTTTCCGGTATTATTATAGATGTTGAATTATGAATTTTTTTCAAAACGGCTTATATTAAGTTTTTTTGATATATATGATCAGTACATGTGCTGGGATTGACAAATATGCATTTTATTTGGATTTTAAAGGCGTTTTGAGCTCCAAACCCCAAGTGTCTGTGGGTTTTGGAATCTATTATGTGACGTACATTTTGTAGCTATCCTCAACTAGATTATTGAATATTATCAAGAAGTTTCTCTGACATCACGTTTGTTATATTCTGACCAGAGTACGCTTTCTACGCCTCATCAACAGCCCTAAACAATAACTGTACAATGATCACCTCGTCTGTCCCAATACCTGCATATAAATGTAAGATATTCTAGATATTTATGATAACTTGACATATAAGGTATTTTAGACATATATGATCACTTTACATAAATATAAGATATTCTAGATATGCATGATAACTCTATATAAATATAATATGTAATAATTTTATATAAATGCTAGGTATTCTAGATATTTATGATTAACTTTACATAAATATAAGGTATTCTAGAAATTTATGATAACTTTACATACATATAATGTATTCTAGATATTTATGATAACTTTACATAAATATAATGTTTTCTAGATATTTATGATAACTTTACATAAATATAATGTATTCTAGAAATTTATGATAACTTTACATATATATATTGATTTCTAGATATTTATGATATCTTTACATAAATATAATGTATTCTAGAAATTTATGATAACTTTACATAAATATAAGGTATTCTAGATATGAATGATAACTTTACATAAATATAAGATATTTTAGATATTTATGATGACTTTAAATTCATATAAGACAATCTTCATATTTATGATTATAACTTTACATGAATATAAGGTTTTCTAGATATTTATGATAACTTTTCATAAGTATTCGTGACAGTTTTACGTACATATATTTATGACTGATGTACATAAAAACATTAATATTTTTTAATAAGGTATTCATGATAATTTTACATAAATATAAAATATTCATGATATTTACATATTAAATATATACAATATTCATTTTACAATATATTTACAGGTACAAAATATTCATGATAAGTTTACATAGATACAAAATATTTTATATAAAATATTCATGATTATTATACATATTTATACGATATTCATGATGATTGAATGTAACACGCATGGACCCTGTTTTATTATGTAAGATTTTAAACGTGTTTTCAAACAATGAAGCTCTTCTAAATTCATTACCCCATACGAGCATACACTGATGAACAGCACAATGCAATACAGCACATAGTACGGACAGCTTATATGCGAACAACACAGCACAGAGTATTACAACACAGTACAGAGTACAGACAACACAATACAGAGTACGTACAACACAGTACATAGTACGGACAACACAGCACAGTTTTCGGACAACACTGTACAGAGTATGGACAACACAGCACAGAGTATGGACAACACAGCACAGGGTACGGACAACACAGCACAGAGTACGGACAACGCCGCACAGAGTATGGACAACACAGTACAGAATACGGACAACACAGTACATAACGTTTAACGCATTACAACAACGTAATACTTGATAAAACCATAGTACTTAGCATTTATGTTCTTTTTTTCTTCAAAGTCATTTTAAAATATTACTGATATTTTCCTTGTAGTACGTGTTGTTAAGGTACAAAGTGAACTCGCCAGGAATGCTTAAATCATGGTCAACTTTCAAACTATATATCATTGGTCGGAGATGCTCCTTGTATACCCAGATTGCTGTCTTTCGTTTTAATGACAACTGTTCCGCTATGTCAGTCGACAACTGTTCCGCTATGTCAGTCTGTGTGGGTGAAAAACACAAATTTATGTAAGATTTTATAAAGAAAATTGTTTGTTTTACGTCACACCGACACAGTTTATGTCATATGGCGACTTCCAGCTTTACTTCAGTTGCACTTCAGTGCATTATTTCAGGCACGAACAGGGCCCTTAGTAGAACCACCGACGTTCCGTAAGCTAGCTGGATAACTTCTTCACATGAAAGAATCCAGTCCCTGTCGGGATATGAAACCGCATCGTTGAGGGCAAGTGATTTAAAGTCAACGTCCTTAACCACTTGGCCATGGACACCCTTTATATAGAAAAAAAGAACAGTACAAGAGGTTATTACATTAACAATATAAGGAAAGTTCTCTGGATTTCAACTCTAATTAAGAAGGCATCCTATTTCTTTACATTAATAATAATACGAAGTTATTTTACATTGTAAGGTATAATACTGAATTCTATTGCTCGAGTACACAGCCGAGTCTGATAAAGGTTTTGCAGCTGTGTACGAGTCCAATAGAATCAGTATTGTTCTCAATAATGTACACGTTTAAATGACCTCTTTACTTCATACCACCGTTCTTTTTACAGAACTCTTACTTCGAGTACAATTAAGGATTTGATATGATTTCTGTACATGAAAGCGAGGCTAGATGGAGTACGATATGCATTTGATATAAATATTTTGGATTTTGAAAATGAAAACGAGGCTATATAGGGTACGATATGCCTTTAATATGGATTATATGGACTCTGGAAATCGAATTAATGCTAAATTGATAAAATTGGATCCATTATTGAATTCTATTGGAAAATCACGTGGTTCAAAGACTGAACGTTCTTTGGTTGTATTTTATAAGGTGTAAAATCATAAGGTACATATTTGGACAGGATTACATGTAGTTTGTAAACCTATATTGGACGAGTCGCCTGGTGATTCCAAATTGATTTTTCTGTGTACAGACATCATTCGGATACTTTTGCGTTATCGGCTTTTATCCTTAATGGTACATACAAATTCATATTGGATAGTGTCCAATACAGAAAATACAATTATATTGGACGATAAAGAGGTTCATTTCGAAAGCAAATAATCGGTGTGGAAATAATATAAGATAAATATTTACAAACAACAAGCTAACATGTAAAGAGAACACCTGTATTCAATAACGCACTGGCATTTATTCACCAAAATAGTAACAAATATCTTTACAGTTTAGTGAACGGCTAAATATTTGACAATATAAACACTGCTCACAGATTCTAGATAAAATGTTAACCTTTGTTATTAGTTTGTTTTCTTCTTCTTTTTAAATATGAATTGCAATTGTTATTAGTTTTGGAATGTCCGTATGCTATCCGGTTTCTAATAGTTTCTACCTAAAGCCATTTTAAAAGGAGAACACTTAAATACCCATTAGAATTAAAAAGTTAAACGTTACGTACGCTATAACATAAAACCGTTACATACATGTATTTCAAAGCATACATTTTAAAAATGTAGGCAAGAACTTTACATTAATCTTGCGTTTATTTCTGCATGTCAATGAAAATAAAACTTAAATAATTTAGGTATTTATGCGGACACCTCTAAAACACACATTTATCTACTTCAGGAATTTATAAAATGTGAAATTCATTTATAAAACTAATGGCTTATCACTGTATAGAATTTTTTCTATCCGCTAATCGTAATGTTGTTAAAGGGACTCCACTAAGATTTAAAAGCCTTAAAACATAAAATTTGAATTTCTTACATAAATGAGCTGGGGCACTTTAAACAGAAATATAAATTATGCAAAGATAGTTAAGAAAAATACTTTAAAAATAAAATGGAAAATCGTGTTTATGCTTTTCTAAGCCCGATTTGAGTGTTTGAACGCTTATCATTTTGGGTCTTTTTTTACAATTTGAATAATTATTCTGAAAAAAAAAAACGAAGTGCGCGAATGATCTGAATTTTTGCGCAGAGATTACTGGTCTAAACCTACATCAAGTAGTTCATTTATCAGGAATAAATATTTTCAGTACCATCATGTCAAAAAATGAGCGTCAATTTGGTAGGTAGTTGATATTCGAATAACCAACTACCTACTAGCTGATAGTTGGTTATTCGTAATTCCCAACTATTCAACAGCTGGTAGTTGGCAATTCAATCCACTATCACCAGCATGAAATGTTAGAACACATCATACATTTTTAAAGAATTCCAAACTATCTAACAGCAGAAGTTCGAATTACCAACTACCTTGTGGTAAGTAGTTGGGGATTCACACAAATAACCAACTGGGTCC